TTTAGCATCAGTCCTTCCAGTGAATATTCAGGGTTGATTTCCTTTAGGATTAACTGGTTTGATTTGCTTGCAGTCCAAGGGACTCTCGAGAGTCCCTTCTTTAACACCACAGTTCAAACGCATCAATTCTTTGATGCTCAGCTTTCCTTATGGTCCAACTCTCACATCCATACATGACTACTGGAAAAACCATGACTTTGACTAAACAGACTTTTGTAGGCAGAGTAATGTCTCTGCTTTTTAATACGCTGTCTAGGTTGGTCAAAGCTTTTTTTCCAAAGAGCAAGAGTCTTCTCATTTCATGGCTGCAGTCACCATCTCTAGTGATTTTGGAGCCCAGGAAAATAAAGTCTGTCACTGTCGCTGTCTAAACTCTTAACTGTTATATAAACCAAGGTTCTCCAGCTTGAGTGCACCTCAATATCACCTAGATTGCTGGGCCCCACCCCCAGAGCCACTAACCAGTGAGTCCTAGATTGAGCTTGATTATTTACATCTTACTGGTCCCAGATGATGCTGATGTTGATGTTGCTGGTCCAGGAACCACACTTTGAAAACTAATACACACACTATACTGCCCCTGGACTGAGCACAACAATGATGCAGTTGTAGAGGACTGGAGTTCTGGCAAAGAATTTGGGGATGGATTGGAGCTATTACATTGAAAACTTAAGCAAATAAGTCACGAAGTGATTATTAAAGCCAAGAAAATAAAAACAATTTTTAAGAAAAACATTGTAATCATCATAAACTATAACACTCAGCTGGAAATAATATTACATTGTCATTATAATGTAAAAACAGTACATTGATTTAACCAGAAATTATGATATAATTATTTGGGGAAAATTGGAGTAGGAGCATGTCTATGTGCGAGTGTTCGTGTGTGTGTGTGTGTGTGTGTGTGTGTGGAGAGAAAGAGAAAAACTGTATCTCTATTCTTTATAGCTATAAGAAATAGAAAAAGTCTAAAATTTTAACATCTTAACGTGACACCATAATCAGGTATAAAGAAGTAAGCAGGGACTTCCCAGGTAGCAGGTGGATACCCTGCAATGCAGGGGACTTGGGTTTGATCCCTGGTCAGGGAACTAAGATCCCAGATGTCACGGGGCAACTAAGCTGAGCACTGAGACTCCTGAGCCCGCGCACCTTGACTGGAGAGTCTGTGCACCTCAACACAAGATACTACTCCCGAGCACCACAGCTACCGAGTGTAGCTCCTCACCTCCAGAAAGTAACCACAGAATGAGTTGTTGCTGCATAAAGATGGGTCAAGACAGGGATTTTTGTTTTAAGACTTGTAGTACTATCTAACTTGTAGCAGTCACTGACTCTTAAACATAATATGTATTTATTACCATGATTAAACTTGAAATTAAAAATAAAAGTGGATTTAGCCACTGCTGAAACAGCCTGTCAGCTTGGTGGCGCTGTTCAGCTTCTGGCCACAATACCCACCTCTTGTCCTTGAATTGCCTAGAAGCTTCTGGAGGGCTACAAGTAGTAGTACCCAAATCATGCCCTGGGGATGCTACACTGGAGACTTTACATCCAGTGAGACTCAACAGAGGAGGCCTCTTGTCTGTTTATTGAGGACCTGAGTCAGAAAACAAAGATGGAAGCAGATGCAGCCACTCTGTTTCCCAAACTTAATGGATTGTTCTCATTTCAAATGTTCTTCCTATGAGCCACTTCAGTGCTCAGAATTTCTACCTCTCTCTTCTGGGAATGGCATAGAAATTCTTTGTTCAGCTCTCAGCTGAGTATTTGCTGCAGAAAATTTGCTGGCTAATTTCTCAGAAGTTGTTTTTGATTCTTCGAAAGGTAAAGGAATACAATGATCTAGCAGGGCAGAGTCCTTGATTCTATAACTACTATGGGACATTCAGAATAAACTATTGAGGAGTCTATCAAAATGTTCATGACTGGAAGGCACCAAAGTACACAAAATGATCAAAGTGTGAAGCATACAGCCTTTTAGGATGGGAATTGGAAAATTCATTGTTTATTAATATATTTAAAAATTCATATACTTTGAACCAGGGATTTCATTTCTAGGATTTATCCTATAGAAATACATGCCCATGCATGGAAGAGTGTGTATACTACAAGGATTTTTATTCTGGTCATTTGTAATAGTAAAATATTAGAAATATTCAAGGGCCAGAGACAGGGGATTAGTTACATATAGCCACACATTTGAATATAATGTAGCCCAAAATGAAGGAGTTATCTCTTGTATGCTACCACAGAATAAGAATTCACAACAAATAGCTGAACTATTTCAAATCCTAAAAGATGATGCTGTGAAAGTGCTGCACTCAATATGCTAGCAAATTTGGAAAACGCAGCAGTGGCCACAGGACTAGAAAAGGTCAGTTTTCATTCCAATTCCAAAGAAAGGCAATGCCAAGGAATGTTCAAACTACTGCACAGTTGCACTCATCTCACACTCTAGCAAAGTAATGCTCAAAATTCTCCAAGCCAGGCTTCAATAGTACATGAACTGAGAACTTCCAGATGTTCAAGCTAGATTTAGAAAAGGCAGAGGACCCAGAGATCAAATTGCTAACATCCAATAGATCATAGCAAAAGCAAAAGAATTCCAGAAAAACATCTACTTCTACTTTTATTGACTAAGGCAAAGCCTTTGACTATGTGGATCACAACAAACTGTGGAACATTCTTCAAGAGATGGAAATACCAGACCACCTTCCCTGCCTCCTGAGAAACCTGTATGCAGGTCAGGAAGCAACAGTTAGAACTAGACATGGAACAACAGACTGCTTCCAAATTGGGAAAGGAGTATGTCAAGGCTATATATTGTCACCCTGCTTATTTAACTTCTATGCAGAGTGCATCATGCAAAATGCTGGGCTGGATAAAGCATAAGCCGGATTCAAGACTGCTGGGAATAACCTCAGATATGCAGATGACACCACCCTTATGGCAGAAAGTGAAGAGGAACTAAATAGCCTCTTGATGAAAGTGAAAGAAGAGTGAAAAAGCTGGCTTAAAACTCACCATTCAGAAAACTAAGATCATGGCATCTGGTCCCATCACTTCATGCCAAATAAATGGGGGAACAATGGGAACAGTAAGAGACTTTATTCTCATGGGCTCCACAATCACTGCATATGGTGACTGCAGGCATGAAATTAAAAGACACTTGCTCCTTGGAAGAAAAGCTATGACCAACCTAGACAACATATTGAAGAACAGACACATTACTTTGCCTACAAAGGTCCATCTAATCAAAGCTATGGTTTTTCCAGTAGTCATGTATGGATGTGAGAGTTAGACAATAAAGAAAGTTGAGTGCTGAAGAACTGATGCTTTTGAAACGTGGTATTGGAGAAGACTCTTGAGAGTCCCTTGGACTGCAAGGAGATCCAAGCAGTCAATCCTAAAGGAAATCAACCCTGAATATTCACTGGAAGGACTGATGCTGAAGCTGAAACTCCAATACTTGGGCCACCTGATGTGAAGAACTGACTCACCTGATGCTGGGAAAGATTGAAAGCAGGAGAAGGGGGCGACAGAGTATGAGATGGTTAGATGGCATCACCGATTCGATGGGCATGAGTTTGAGTAAACTCTGGGAGTTGGTGATGGACAGGGAGGCCTGGTGTGCTGCAGTCCATGGGGTCACAAAGAGTTGGACAGGACTGAGCGGCTGAACTGAACATAGAAGAAAAGTCGGTGAGTCGTATCTGACTCTTTGCGACCCCTTGCACTATACAGTCCATGGAATTCTGCAGGCCAGAATACTGGGGTGGGTCACCTTTCCCTTCTCCAGGGGATCTTCCCATCCCAGGGATAGAACCCAGGTCTCCCACATTGCAGGCAGATTCTTTACCAACTGAGCTATCAGGGAACTGAACATATTATTACGTAAAATGCAAATATAAACTGGAAATTAGCATAACCTCAAATTTTGTTGAAATATGTGTACATAGCTGCTAGCCTTCACTGAGTTGTTTCTCTGTATTTGGGAATGTTCTAGGTACTATAAGTAAATACTAAATAAATAAATAAATACTAATTTATTCCAATACACCTATAGGTTTTTTCATTGTTATCTCCATTTTCCATAGGAACTGAGGCTCAGAGAGGTTAGGTTACTTTCTCAAAGCCATAGCACTAAGAAGTGATTGAGCTTGGTTCCAAACTGAGGTATATCTGATTTCAAAGCTGGTGGTACTTATATGTACTCATGTTAGTTTCTACATACATAGAGGAAACACATGGATAAATAATACTCTACATGCCAAAAAAAATTCCCTCTAGGTGATTCTTTCAACATTTGTGTATTATTTGAACTTTTTATGGATTTAATGTTTGATATTAGTTTTTAAGTACTTTTTTGTAGATATAAAAAGAAATAAAACTCAGTTTACAAGAATGTTCAATAATGTAGACTGCACTTCCTTGCTCACTTGCTTAGTGAGTATTGATTAAGCTCCTAATGGCTGCTGAATTAGGGACTGAGATGAATGAAACCCAGTTCCTGTCAAAGTGGAACATAGGATCTCGTGAGGGCCAGAAAGCACCTCTGAGTCCTCAGTCTTTTCCGGCTGTATCGCACTGTGACCCTCCTGGAGATTTTGGTTGGCCAGAGAGAAATGAGGTTGCGGCGTTGGTATCCACATTCAAAGTGTTGCCTCTTTCAACTTATGGTACCAGGTGCTGTGTGGAGACCTGAACATAATGCACTTTCACGATCTCGTTATGAATAAGGCACACTTTCTGCTGGCAAGATCTGGTACTGTGAGGAAAACTGCTATTTTTCTAAATAGTTACAGTTCCCCACTGGTGAAAATAATGATAATAACTAATACTTAAGAAGTACTCACTAGACACTGGTTCATATACATTTTTAGGTGTTTTTTTTATTGTAGAAGTATGGTTGGTTTACAATGTTGTGCTAATTTCTGTTGTATAGCACAGTGGCTCAGCTATATATACATTCTTTTTTGTAGTCTTTTCCATTATGGTTTGTCCCAGGACACTAAATATAATTCTCTGTAGGACCTTGTTGTCCATCCATTTTATATGTAATAACTTGCACCTATACTCCTCACTCCCCACACATTTCTTACATATACTAATTTGTTGAATTCTTAACCCTCTGAGATTCTGTCTTTATCTCTATTTTATGGATGAGGAAACTGAGGCAGAGAGAGTTTAGGCAACTTGCCCAAGATCACACAACTAAGAAATTCCGCTGAAGACCAGGAAGTCCCAATCCGGGTATGTGCTTAGAAGAGCACAACTAAAGAACCCAGTGTGTGGGAGAACAGTCATGATAAAAAATTGTGTTAACAACCCTAACAGCACCTGTCACAACCACACGGAGCTTTGGGAGTTTTAAGTGCTTGTGAATACATGTCTCCATGATAGGTGAGTCCCAGTATAAAATGATCCTCCCATTTTTCACAATGAGAAGCTTGCAAAAAAGAAAATATTTGGAGGCCCATCTTGAATGTATAAACTCTTAAGGCTGTCGATGAAATTGTCAAATGTCTATGTATAATATTTATTATTTTAGGTATGTACATGTTTTAAATATTATCAATATGTTTAAATAATATTTAAATATATTATGTATTAATGACTAATATATTAATTTAAAAATACTGTTTTTTCCCCCTAATCTGACACTTTACAAAACATCTTTATTCCATCTCATCCTGTGCATCTTTGACCTCATGTCTTTATCACCCCTAGAATAGGAAATGGCAACCCACTCCAGTATTCTTACCTGGACAATTTCATGGGCAGATGGTTTCTGAATCACCCAACTCACTTTCTAGATGACATACATTTCACTCCTATATAATTTATTTGTTATCCAGAACTTTCTGAGCTTTATATGATGTTGTCACTGAGATATTTTATACTTAAAGTCCCAGTTCACTTAATCTTAGGACAGTATTTTTTTTTGCGTGTCCTGTTGGTTTATATTTGTGATCACAACATCCTTTTTAAAGTCCTCTTTACGGGGCTTGCATCTTTACACGGGGTATGAAGTCAACACCTTGTATAATGACTACATCTGTGTCAAAAACTTTTTAAACCCCTTCCTTCAGGTGACTTCTGTAAATCGGTCTTTTGCAAACAATACTTTGTTGTTTAAAGTAATTGAAGAGGGACTTCCTTGATGGTCCAATGGCTAAGACTCTGCTGGTCAGGGAAACAGATCCCACCTGCCACAGCTAGGAGTTCGCATGCTGCAGCTAAAGATTCGCATGCCACAGCTAAGACCTGGTGAAGTTGAACAAACAAATACATAGAAAATAACTTTAAAAATATAATAATTGAGATAGTTTAGGTAATATAAAAGACTCTGTGAGGCTTTGTAAGAACTGAAATACAAAGCAATTCCCACTTTTCTCTGAGGGATAATTTATGGGGAAAACCACCCTGCCTTATATCCAGGTGTAGACCACACATTAACCTTATCTATTAAACTTGGCAAACTTTCCTCCACAAATCTGTATAGTTGGCCCTATCCTCACTTAACACATGAGTAATCTGAGACTCAGAGGTGAGGTGACTTGCCTGAGGCACCTCACAAATGGCAGAACTGGAACACAACACAAACCAGAGTCTATCTGATCCTCTCACTCACCCTCTCCCGTTAAAGCCACTGGGAAAGTTTTTAAACTGCCTTCCTAATTTAGATGGCTGGCCCTGGTAAGAATGTAGGGCTGTGTTGACAGAATACTAACACTGATTTATTTATTGTTCTCTTACTGCCTTATGTTTGTATAGCTGTGTGCAGTATTTCATAAAGAGAATGGCAAAGCAATTTGCAAATATAAAACCCAGATGCTTAATTTTAATTTCTGGGTTTCTGTTTCAAATTTAGTGCAAGGCAGGTTGTTTATACTGTAAGTAAATGCCCTAGTGTCTATAAAGATCCCTGGAAGCTGCTCTTAGGTCCTGAAATGACTTACTTGCTTACATTTGTTTTGTTGTAAAATAATCCCTTCAGGTATGAAGTGGGAAGAGTCAATGGTGCCTGATTTGGGGGTGCAGGTTCCCCCACAAGGCTGTTCTGGAGCTATTTTCTCAAGGCTCATGAGAGCTGTTCGTGCACATTTCTCCCAAGCTCTGCTCAGTAATGTCAGGGTGGCAGCTGGAAATCAGCCAGGGGAAGTATTTACACCATGGAAATTGGTAAACCTTACAAAGGAAGTCCTTCCATTCCCCCTCTGCCCCTTCCCCAAATGTTGTAACCTCCCTATACCTTGTGAATAGTGAGAGTACTTTCTTTCCAGGTTTTCTGAAGATTTAGTGAAATAAAACATGGCAATTCTTCTATGTTTATTTACTTAGATAAATAATGCATATGCAGGGTTGAAATAGTCAAACAAAAAAGGTTACAGTGAAAAGTAAGTTTCCTTCCCAACCTGGACTTGCATTCCAATTCCTATCCTGAGAGGCAGACTGTTTCTTGAAAGCCTTTCAGAAACGTCCTCTGCATATATAAGCTTGTAGTGAAAAAGGAAAGTGAAGTCGCTCAGTTGTGTCCAATTCTTCGCAACCCCATGCACTGTAGCCTACCAGGTTCCTCCATCCGTGGAATTTTCCAGGCAAGAGTACTGGAGTGGGTTGCCATTTCCTTCTCCAGGGGATCTTTCTGACCCAGGGATCAAACCCAGGTCTCCTGCATTGCAGGCAGATACTTTACCATCTGAGCCACCAGGGAAGCCCATAGCATATAGACACGTATACAAATGTAGATCTATAAGCCAGTTTAGAATAATCACAGATAGACAGAGATAAAATATATGTCTCAGTGTGTGTGTTCTGCCCCTTGACACACACACTGAGACATATATTTTATCTCTGTCTATGTGATTATTCTAAACTGGCTTCTAAGATCTGTTATTTTTTTTAATTATTTTTTTATTTGGGTCTTCATTGCTGCCCCGGCTTTTCTATAGTTTTGTCGAGTAGGGGAGACTATTTTCTAATTGCAATGCATGGGCTCCTCATTGTGGTGGCTTCTCTTGTTTCAGCTCACAGGCTCTAGACCACAGGGTCAGTAGTTATGGCACACAGGCTTAGTTGCCGCATGGCTTGTGGGGTCTTCCCAGAGCAGGGATTGAACCCATGTCTCCTGCATTGATAGGTGGATTCTTTGCCACTGAGCCACCAGGAAAGCCCTAACTTGTTACTTTTAAGGGTTGCCATTATTCCATTTTTAGATGCTCCATGGGTTATTTAACCAGCCTTCTGTGAGTGATATTCAGATTGTTTCCCATCTCTTGCCAGTACAATGAGCGTTAAATAACCTGTCTTTTGCACATAGACATGAGTATATCTATATGCTCAATTCCTGGAAATGGAACCATTGGGTCAAAGAGTACAGGCATTTAGAAATCTGGTTTGATTGTTAACTGCCTTTCAAGAGTTGTATCAATTTTCTCTTCAAGCTATGGAATAGGTGAGAGCGAATCCCTACCGCCTTGGGATATTGTCCAACTGTTTGATCTGTCTCATCTGGCAACCTGGGTACGTAAATGGTCCTCATTATTATTATTGATGGAAAAACTTAGGTGTGGGAGTGGCCCTTGGGCACTGGAGTTCCATGAACTCTGCTTTGCAGGCTCTTTATCATCTCCATTTTTCTTGAGTGAAATTTCTCAGGAACATTAAGGATCAAGAGGGTGAGAAGCTCGAGTGCTCTGGGAAGTTCTGGTACAGCTTGTTCCCTGTCACTGTAACAGAATCAGCTTTCTGAAATACAGACTTGCTCTTCCTGTTCTTCTTTTGCTCTTCTTCTCTTTAGACTTACCGTGGCTCCACATTTACCAAAGTTCTTGAACCAGCAGTGCCAGCATCCCCTTGAACTGGTTGGAAATGTACATTTTCAGACTCCTCTGCAGACCTACTAAATCAGACACCCTGGAAGAGGGGCTAAGCTCCAACAAGGGTGATGCTGCTGTGAGCTCAAGTTTGAAACCCCTGACTTGCAGAATGAAGTGGCCTCTTTCCAACTTGTGACTCAAACCTACCTTTCCTACTGTGTTTCCTGCTCTGTCCTGAAACTTCTAAACACACCTAGTTATTGGCTTCTCAAACCTCCCTCCACTTTCTCACCTCTGTGCTTGGGGCAGGAACCTCTAGTTATCTCCCAATTTCTTATAGAGCAATAGACGCTTGCATTTTAAAATTGCATTTCCCAGCCTCCCTTGCAACTATGCTCTGGCAAATGGGAAGTAAAGTGGGCAACTTCCGAATTGTGCCTTCAGAAGGAAGGAGCATGCCTAGCCTTCTGCTTGGGCACTCCCAGTGGCTGACTTGATGGTTCTGAACCACAAAACAGATGAGGGCCAGGCCTCAGGTGTGGGGGACATCAGGAGGGATAGGCCTGGGTCCCTGACCCTGTGGGGTCACTGTTGGGGCCAGAAGACCACTTCAGCCTAGATTGTGATGATAGAAAGAGATAGACTTTCATTTTACTTATTCCACTGTTCCCTGAGGTTGGCTTGATCTCCGTTGACCATCTTCCCTAATACAGTGCCTTCTGGTGTGCTGTTCCTCCACCTGCCCGGCAACAATCTTCTCTTTCCTTTCAAGGACACAATCCACCTCTCTCCCTGATCCTATGAGAGGTGATAACCTCCTCACCAGGAACTCGTCTCACTTCAGAGTCCCTGTTCCCAGCCAGTGTGGAGTCAAGTCATTTCCCCACTAGAGCAGGGGCTCCTTGAAGTGGGGGCAAGTGTCATCATCCGAAACCATCCCACCATCTGATTGAGTGTCTGGCACAAAGCAGATACCAAAAACCATTTTTCAAAGGCAGTTTTAAGCCAGCCTCTGCCTTTTCTATGTTCCCTGATAAACTGTGCTTTGGTGAATACCTTGGATGAGACTGAGAACAATTGGCAGCCTGGTGACTAGAAGCTGATTTCCTCTCCCCAGAGCAGCTGTGGTCCGAGTGGGCCGAGACCAGCCACTGAGGGTGCTGGGGGGTGACCTATGGAGTCAGGGACACAAGGGGAAGAAAGAAGTCGAGAGAAGCGTTCACTGTGTCTCTGCCCAGCCCGCTCAGCCATCTCCTCACCATGCTGGGGCTGAGCCGCGTGGAGAGACGTCAAGTTCAAGACTGACACTGCGAGACCTTTCTCAAAAGGCCAGTCAGTCACTGCAGACCCAGGTTTCATGCTCCGGGAGCCAACTGATTTCTCAGAGCAATGTTTGTTCCGTGGGGCCAAGCGACACCAGGACATGCTGACCTTTACTCTGACTCAGCTGAAAGTCTGCAGTAATACACCGTCAACCAGATTGGTGCTATCTGCCCCCTGCCCTCCTCCTCTCTCCTTCCCCTCCTCTCTTCCCCACCCCGCCATCCCCCGCCCTGCAGGGCCAACAAATTGTTACCATTC